CGGTATTTCCAGCCTCTGTGACTCACTGATTCCACTGGGCTATTTGCAGCCCGACACTCATCTGCCTGGCAGAGGGGGGAGGCACGGGAGGGGGGACCCGTTCCACTCCCCCAGGGTCAGGTTCACCTTGGCGCCCCAACCCCAGTGAAGCCTCTTCCTTAGCGAGCCGGCGGAGGAGCTGGCTGGGGACAGCCTGGGCTGGGATAGAGCAGCTTTCCAAGTGGCCAGTGGGATGAATACCTCCCACCCCTCAGGCTCCGGCAGCTCCCTCCCCAGACAGTGGTTTTGTGGGGTGGGGACTGCATCGGAAGCCCAGCGGCCGCTGAGGACAGGCACATCCGGTCTGGGGAAATTGGTGGCCGCGCCACCGCCACCGCCACCGCCACCGGAGCCAAGGTGACCCCGAGGAAGAGGAGAGCTGGGGAGGTAGGGCCAGTGGGCTGGTTATTCATCGGCTCCGCCCTCTGGGCGCCTGGGTTGGTCCAGGCGCTTTGTCTCCCAGCGCCCCCACCCCTTTCCAGGCTAAATATAGACCTGACTGCAACCAGGCGCCACTGTCCTTCGCCCTGGGGAAAAAAAAAAAATAATTATAGCAGCTCCATTCATTGAGTGCCTAGTATGTGGCACACCATTCTCCCCATAACAATCCCACAGGCAGGTACTATTATCCTTGTATAGAGAAGGACATGGAGGTTCAGAGAGGTCAAGCAACTGGCTCAAGGTAGTGCAGCTTAGAAGTGTCACTGCTGGGATTTTAATCCTTGTCTGTCGCTCTCCAGAACCTAAGCCTCTGCTGAATCATCCTGGACCAATTTCCCCTCACCACTAGGGAGCAGAGGCAGCCCCCTTGCCCAGGGCTTCTCAGGAACCATGGGACCTCTGGCAGCTGCAGAAGGAAAAGGGACTTCCACATCTTGTAGCTTTTGGGGTTGGCATGCACACCAGGCAGGCAGGTTAAAAAGATGCAGCCTTTGTGGGCTGACGGCCTGTAGGAGTATCCAGGTCAAGGGAAACCAAAGACCCTGAGGGCACCAGAAGACCCAGAAGGTGCCCTCACTTTTTTTTCTTTTTAATGCATTTTATTAAAATATAATTTATGAACAGTAAAATACACAAAACTAAAGTGATATGGGTCGATGCATTCTTTTTTTTTTTTTCCAGTGTTCCCTCCCCTCCCCTTCCACCCCTGGCAACCAACAAAGAAAGTTTCCCTCCATATATAAACCTTTCCTTGACCCTCCACAACAATGAACTAATACTATATTGTCCTTCTGTGATTGACTTATGTCACTCAGCATATTGTCCTCCAAATTCATCCATATTATTCAGTATTTTGCAGAATCTACATTATTTTTTAGTGCTACATAGCATTCCATTGTGTGTATGTACTGTAGTTTGGTCATCCACTCTTCTGCTATAAATCTTAGAGATAAGTCCCTTGCCAGATACGTAATTATTGGCAAATATGAATTTGTTGCTGTCATTTTTGTTATGTGCTTTTTCATGGTGTCGATTTCTCTGTTCCATATAATTTTCTACACTGAGCTCATTTTGTTTATGAATCGCATTATCACTTCCTTCATTGCTATTGTTTTAGTATTTGCTTAATATTTATGCTGGTCCTCTTTTTTTGAAGTGAAGGTTTATCATTTTCCTTTGAGGTTACCCTGTGATTTATAGTTTTCTTCCCAAGTTTAGAACAGTCTGTTCTATCTTGTAGTTGTCTTGACTTCCCTACCATCTAGAAGTTCTGTAACAAAACAATTTTTTCCCTCTTTTTCATTTGTAATTATTCTCATTTGTCAATTGATGTCTCTGGTTCACTGTTTATAATCTTGTAGGTTTATTTACTTTGAATACTTCCATAGCTGGTTGGTTTCTGGGTTATATCATCATGTGTGTTAATGGTCAGTTGTTGTTGCTATTGTTGCTCCTCTGTCCAAAGGGCTCCCTTTAGCATCTCTTCTTGTAAGGTTGGTCTGGTTTTAACAAATTCCTTAATTTCTGCTTATCTGGAAATGTCCTAATTTCACCATCATATTTGAGGGACAATTTTGCTGGGTACATAATCCTTGGTTGGAAATTTTTCTCTTTCGGTGTTTTATATATACCATCCCATTGTCTTCTTGCCTGCATGGTTTCTGTCAAGAATTTTGAGCTTAGTCTTATTGGTTGCCCCTTGTGGGTAACTTTTAGTTTTTCCCATGCTGCTCTCATGATTCTTTTGGTTTTGGTCAGTTTGATGATGATATGTCTGAGTTATTTTCTTTGGGGCTCTATCCTGCTTGGGGTTCATTAGACTTCCTGAATGGATAGATTCTCATCTTTCATCATACCAGGAAAATTCTCTTCCAACAAATTTTCAACAATTTTCTCTGTGGTTTTATTTGTCTCTTCCTGTTCTGGAATTCTGATTACATGTAAGTTATTCCTTTTGATGGTATCCCACGTGAACCTTAGGCTTTCTTCATTTTGTTTTGATCTTTTTTTTCTGTTTGATCCCTTTCCAAAGAAGTGTTCATGTATTTGCCTTCCATCTCCCTAATTCTGTCTTCCATTGATTCAATTCTGCTCTTTTGCCCATTCAATGTCTTATCTATTTCTGAAAATTTAATATTAATCTTCTGGATTTCTATGTATAGATTTTGTATCATTTCTAATTTTTCATTTATTTTGTCATTTTGTTCTTGTATTGTCTTTTGAAATTGTACTAGGGTTTTGGCTGTGTTTTCCTTGATCTGTCTCTCAATTCATTGAAGATACCTAAATATAATTCTTTTTAATTCCTTCTCAGG